TAGCCCATGTTTGGGGAGAATGATGGAGACTTAAATAATATAAAGCAGAAAGTTTTCATGCTGTGGCTAATCAGGAAATTCTGTTTAAAAAGTTGTTTAATAAAGATAAACGGTTACAAATTTCAGTTCACAAAAAAAAAAGATGATCACCTGCTCCACGGCGTAGAAGATGTGGTCGTAGACGTCCTTCTGTGTGTAAACGGCAAAGGAGTCATCTGAGGACTCATCGTAGTCCTTGAGGAAGATGTGCTTGAAGGTCATAGTGTTCTCCTCCTTAAAGGTCACCACCACCTGGTTACTGAGGCCAAACAGCACCAACTGCAGCAAAAACAGGCACGGGGTATAGAGAATGATGTGAGGACGATAAGAAGCTGTGACAAAGAAAAAAACCCTTATGTGGTGCGTTACTGTTACAGCTTTAACCCCTAAACAGATAATTCAGATAATTTCATATTTGATATTCAATTTGTGTGAATGTTGAAACTTCTACATCATCAGCGTGATTCCCATTAAAATGTACGTAACCAGAAATGTATCCAAATCAAGAGCACCCCCAAAAAGAAATCAGCATTAAAGTATAATATATGATGTACCTGAGTGGTGACAAAAAAGATTTTGGCTAGCTGCAGGATCAGTTTAAAAGGATAGCGCCCCTTGGCATGATATTTATCACAAGGGCTCATAAAGAAGTATTTTAGCTTCCTGCGAATCGCCTCCTCTTCCTCACTAGCGTGGACCCAGTGACATCCTGGTGCTGTGGCAAACCGGTTGTGGTTACAGTTGTTGTCGTGACTGTTAATTTGATAGTCATCCTCGCCACTGCTGTCTGTGGAGCCGTAGCGAGTCACCGGAGAGGGAAGTCTTTCCCGCTCTGATAGGGGGGGAAAAAAAAAAAAGATTTTAATTTTTCTAAAATATATATTTTTAAAAACACTCTTTAAATTGGCCTACAAGTTTACAATGAGACCCTGGTTGTTGACAAAAATATTGTCCAATGTATGTTTAATTTACCAATAAACTGACCTGGTCTACTAATGCAACACGTTAGTTGATAATGGTGTAGAATATATGCAAGACCAAGACTAGAACTGAAATCCAACATCTGAAGCAGACTTTGGTCCAATAGAACATGCTGTGAAATCTTTCAGGTCTGGTTTTCATTATTCACATAACACAGCGTTTTATCTGGGGACTGGTATTCGTCAATGTTAACAAAGGTAAACCCACATGTGCAGCGTTTTTCTCTAACTACTGGAAACTAACTCCTGAACTTACTTTAGTTCACTCACTCTTCCTGCAGTTGTTTTTTTATTCATTTTTGAAAACGCAGCTTGTTGCTCTCAGTCAGTAACACTTTGATAATCGCAAAAATCTTTGGATTTTATTGACTTTAATATAATCTATATCAGATGCTTATTTATAATGATAACCTGCCTTGTTGTGGTGAAATAAAAAGATGAACTTAACTGCTAAACTTCAATCACGATAAGCTGAAAAGTACAAGGCAAAGATAAATTGTGGCAATGAAGTAATTATGCAAAACACAGAAATTCCTTTTTGTGCAATCAAGCAGTTGGGCTGCTTTCCTTGCAACACGTGGTTGCAAGGAAAGCAGCCGTCATGTGAATTGAGCAGAATTTCACATATCTAAGTTTTTTTTCAGCTGAGACCAGTCATTTACGGGCTGACTATGCATCGAAGCATGATTGGTAAATGACTGGTAAAAGGAAATTAGGAAATGAATGCATTTCACTGTTATTCCTGACTATTGAATAAAATGTCCATGCTTGAGTAAATGAAACTCCATTTAACAGCATTTTACGGTTACAATGTTGGTGACTGAAAAGAACCGCTAGGCCTAAAAGTCCTCTCTTCAGGAATAACACTGCAATCATTTCCTGAAATACTTGATTTAATCTTCCCCAGACTACTTCTAGAAACAGATTCCTGAACACGCCACTGTTTTCTTGGAACCCATCATAGTCCTCATTGTGTCTAATACTTTCTCTTTATCTCAGCTCTCATTATCTCAGTGAGGTCAGCTCTGCATCACATGATAGCTGACCTGTCCAACTCCAAGTCTATTTAGACTCACGTGAAAGAAGAAATGCTGCTCTCAATTAACCAACACGCTTTTAGTCTCTAACGTAGTTTTTTTTTTAAAATGACACTGATTCATACACTGTTTAGGTTTATTGAGTAGTATTACTTTCCACTTTTTCCTTCTTGAGAAAAAAAATAGAAAAGTTTGTGAGAAAGTCTGAAAGTCTATATTCCTGAAGAGTCTGCTCTCCCAAAAGAGTCAAAAGAGACTGTTGCAGATATCAAGTATCTGGTTTCTGCGATTGGTAAGAGATGATAAATCTAAGAAGTCTGGCCTGACTTTGTTAGCCAGGGCTAAGAACAGAGAAGTAAGGGCACACTGATTTTGAACTCGGCCCGATGATAAGGTGCTTTTGATACCAAATGCAAAACACACTGCGGTGTGATGTTTACGTATTCATGGGTTTTTGGAGTTGAAATTACACAAACATGATGTCAGGTTTTGTTTTTTCCTTCTATGACACAGATAAGTTACATAAAGAGACGTTATGACACTCATGAAATCCTTAATGTAAGTCTGATGGAGAGTTCTGGAACATCACAGATACCAGCTGTTTCGCAAGTATATATCAATGACAGACAGGTACAGCTGTGTCAGGTTTTTCAGTCCTCTTGCCACAGGTGTCTAAAATCAAGCATCTACGCATGCAGTCTGCCTTTACAAACATTTGTGAAAGAAGGGGCGGTTCTAAAGAGCTCACTGAATTCGAGTGTGGTACTATAAAAGGATGCCACCACTGTAAGTCAGTTCATTGACTTTCTTCCCACCTACATATTCCACAATTAACAGAAAGTGGTATTACTGCAAAGTGGAAGCATTGAGGAACTACAGCACCTCAGCCATGAAGTGGCAGACCACATGAGGTTACAGAGTGGGGTCACCGTGTGCAGAGGTGCATAGTGCGTAAATGTCACCAGCACACTCCTGACTCTGGCATTAACATCAGCAGAAAAACTGCGCCAGGAGCTTCATGGCATGGGTTTCCATGACTTAGCACTTCTTGCATCTAATATCAAATTTAGATAAATGCACTTTAAAAGAAAACCTTTTCTCTGATGAGCTGAGTGAAATGTGTGTTAATGTGCATGTGGGCAAATTAACAAAACCCCTGACTCTGTCGGCACTTTGAACTGAGCCAGATGCTTTAAAAAAAAAGAAAAAAGATAAAACTTTTACATACTGCAGACAAACACACACAAAATAATTATACAATAAATATCAAATATAAAATTATACAAAGAACGTGTCCATATTAAGTGCCAAATGCATATGCATATATCAAAAATTTTGTTTTGCGAATGTCCATACAGATCAATTGTATTTTATTCTTTTAAATGTTTGAAATAAATCAATCCTATCCATTCATCCACAAGACAATATATCATGTTTTAACACTGCCTTTATTAAAAAAACAAAAACAAACAAACAAAAAGCCCCACTCACACACTGTGACCCAATCACAGCTAATACTTGTCACATGTTTTTTGGTTCGCTTACCCTGCTTATTATAAAGAAAGGAACAAAGAACAGGGTCATTCAGTTTGTTCGCTCTATACTGAGGAAACAACACGGTGGCAATAAACCTAAAACTCTTTACGTAATCTGTTTACTGACCTTTAATCGACAGTTATGAGTTACTTCTCAAAAATGATCACTTGCAAGATCACATACACGGCTGAATTAGGGAGGCAAAACCTGTTAATCATACACGACGTGTCAGCAGAGCAAACTACCAGCTTAGCAGTGTCTCTTGCAAATGGGAAGTAAAACAGGAGAAGTAAAACCCTGTTGTGTCCAGTATTAGTCAGCATTACCTGTAAGAAGAAAGTTCAGCGAAATAACTTTACACAGCAAAGTTTGGAGCTGGAATAACGCCAGATTTGTCGTGCAATATTCCTTCACTTTGTTTATAAGATTACCGTTCCTGAAAGGAAAGGCCTCTTTATGCAAGTAATTACCCGTGACACAAAAGTAAACAAACAAGACACCTCAAAAGGAGAGAAGGGCTGTTAGTCTTACTTCTACTGACATAGATGCAGGCGGAAAGTTTTGACAGGTCATTGATGAATGGCTTCTTGGACTATTAAAGGAGCAGTCCGCATGCTTTTGTTTCAAATGACAAGCATATCTGAGATGTATTTAAATCAATGTTATAGTTTAAATGTCACAGTTTTGCTTTTTTATATCTAAGTTTGAGTAAAATGCATTGCTTAATTTAGGAAATCAACAGTAAAAGAAGATTTTATGGTATCTGTATGTGGTAAAGTGCAGTAAACCAAAAGCCATATTTGTAGGGGTCACTTCCTGCGGTAACCAACACCTGCAGTTAACCTGTGAGAATTTCTAGCTGTAAAGTTAAATAAATAACACGCCAATGAACATTTGGTGTTAGCACAGTATGATGGAAACAGTTTTTTAATTATCTCAGCTAGAAAGGAGGCCGGGCTTTGGTTGCGTGCCTCGGTGAGAGGAATGTGAGGCATCCAAAAGAATCCAACAACTTAACATTTTACGCAGACAACTGGGGCAGCATTCATTTATATCTACGATCGTAGGAGTGTATTGATTGACATGGCAGATAGCAATCATCATCAGCAAGAGACAGGATCTCAGATGCTGCAGAAATCTATAGAAATATCTGGCTCTTCTGGTTCACCGTCGCCTGTGGCACT